TATGACATTGAATATATGTTGAAAATTTCCAATAATTTTTTAATTACTAAAATATCAGATTATGTAAAAATTTTAAAAATGTTAGAATTCCTTATTTATTTCAAACAATTTTTTTAAATCGGTAGAACAAAATTCATAAATACTTCAAGCAAAATCTTGCAATTACATTGATTTTTTTTGCTAGCAAATCTTTCGTTCATACCTTTCTCCACATTTTATCCTAAAATCACGCCAAATCAAATTATTTCCATACCCAAATCAACTAACTTCTAATTTTCCTATAATACCTATTGAAGAAACCATACTTATCATCTGTTAATATATATATATATATATATATATATAATTTTTTCTTCAAATTAAATTAAATTATGTTCTATGCACTTACATTCTCTACTTACTTTCATTTTTATTTGCGGTATATATCATTATATGCAGAGAAGAAGAAAAAAACGATGGATGAAAACTACAGATTAATCCCAACTATCTATTCAGGACAAAGTAATTGGACAGCCAAAGTCATAGTAGCTAAAAAAGTGCTCCAAAAGTTGCTCGAAATGGTGCTTCCAAATACTTGAAGATGACACTAATTGACACAGAAGTATATTTTTCACTTTTAAAACTTTGCCAAATCTTTACTTTATGTTTTAATTGCATTTCATCTACTACTTATTTGTAAATTTGATTGTAATTTTAAAGGGACACAAGGTATAAGCTACAATTTTTTATTCAAAAATAGCAGCCTTGGAAGACCGTTTACTTCTATTCGAAACATACTTAATATCTAATGCAAATGTAAGATATACACCATCTCAGTTTAAAGATTTTGTTGGTGAATTCCAATGGACTATTTTAGGAACAACCTGAATACAAGAAATTTGAGAAGAATGCCCTCACCGTTTATCTTCTACATACATATTTAATCATTTCCATCAGTTGTTAGAATATATGGATTCAAACATAGAATCCATATACGATCAAAAAGATTAATTCAGACACGTTTTGGATCTCAATCTTATGTTCAAGATATCATTCTTGTTGACAACAAGTCTGCAGTCCATTTATCACTTCACCACTTTAATTTTTATACCATTTCATCACCGAAAATTTTTAACTTTCATATTTTTTTAGGTTTGAGATAGTGGTTTTGATTATGGGATGCTTTCATCGAAAAAGAATGTAGCCTTATTTCAATAAGTTGGTTAAAAAATCGGTCATTGTTGCAAAACAACTGAAAGTAACATCTTTTAACGGTAAGTTTTGTTATTAATTATAATATAATTAAATGCATAGATTATAATGTAATTTAATTACAAATTCTTTTGAAGAAATTTCCATTTTATATGTGATAGGACTTTTACTAGCAATAAAACCTAACAGCTCTTTCATCATTGACGTTCTTTTCAAAGAAGCTGTTGAATTTAAATCCTGGTAATTATTTTCTTAAATTTTTAGTCTACTTGCTTATACTTATTTAGTCCAGGAATTTTCTTTTAATAATGTAAAGTTTATTCTAAGTTCATCTTTCTTTCTTGTTTTACTTACTACATGTAGGGTAGATGCAAATGTAGAAAAGCTAAATGAAATTTTAAGAAAGAAATGCTATTATGAATTGACGTCTTCAAGAGTTTCTATTCCAAAAGAAGACAAAATCACACCAATCAGAAACATAGAAGGGCCTCTGCCTATTGTGAGTGCTTCCTTTCATATTTTATTGTATATCTTTCAAATCTAAAATCATTCATATATATATATATATATATATATATATATATATATATAACCCATCCTGATTTTATTTTCTTTCACAGCAAAAGTAATTTTGGTTAAAGGTAAAACCATTAATAACAAAAGAAGATCAGTCTTTCTGGAACATGTCATGCTGCAATTGCACAAAATCTACCTATGCTGAATTTGATGAGATCCATTGCTGTTCCTTCTGTAGATATCCCGAGATATATGTTATTATAACAATACAAACTTTACAAAAATGAATTTCCTAATAATTATATCATCTTTCCATTCTATCGAGTAAGAGTTTTTTTGTTCAGTTGCAAGACTCATCAGCATCTGTTGAAGCTACGATGATAGGAGAACCTACTAGAAAGTCGTTACAATGTTCTGCGCTCACATTGATGAAATTAGCAGCTTTGGTATCTACATAAAACATATATTTATACATATCCAATTAGATTACCACAACTAACATTTGTGTTTAGCAGGAGAAGAAGCTAGATTTCATAAAATCAATCAATACTTCTAAGGCAGATGAGTTACCTATTTTTTTACATCAAAGTTGTCAAACAACAAAATAGAGGAGAAGAGTACAAATACGATGTGATTTTTATTGTACATGCTCCTCTAACAATACCAGTTTAACTCCATCAAGTCCATTTGCTAGCGATGGGAGCACATCTCTAACTCCAATCACTGAATCAATTCAATTGATAGAGAAGGATTCAAATCAATCATCTGCTAAAAGATTTTTATTCTCTACTTCTATTCCTTCAAATACTACCAATGTCAAAGGCAAAGACATTGCATCCGAATCCATTGATGACAATCTTTAGTGACATAATCAATATTTATTCAATTGATAGAGAAGGATTCAAATCAATCATCTGCTAAAAGATTTTTATTCTCTACTTCTATTCCTTCAAATACTACCAATGTCAAAGGCAAAGACATTGCATCCGAATCCATTGACGACAATCTTTAGTGACATAATCAATATTTATTATTATTATTTTTTTTTGTCTTTTGTCTTGTTACATTAGATGCAATGGAACACTTGTGCAATCAAAAAATTGCTTACGCTGTGTAATAGTTATGCAATAAAAAACTTGCTTGTAATTTGATTGTATAACTATTTTTTTGTTGATTATATAAAATTATGTTTTTACTTTTTCTCAATCTCATTCTTTTAATTTATTTATCATTTCTTCAGCCATTATTTTATTTTATTTATTCCTTATTTAGTACTTCACATTAACCTTAGTAATCAAATTTATTTTTAACTAAATCTAGCAAATCTATCACAGCCTTCCTTATCTAATTAAATTAAAACTATTTCCCATTTTTGTTTTCAAGAAGAGTGATCTCTTCAATAATTTGTCTCTATTACTTTGTCTATTTTTGTAGACTACTTTGTCTATACAGGCTATTTTGTCTTCAGTAATTTGTCTCCATTACTTTGTCTACCCGTGAACTCTTATCAAATAATCTCAAAAAAAGTAAAGTACATTTCATTAGCTCAAATAGCTTCTCATACCATTTTTCTCACCTAACAAACTTATATATCTTTACCTACCAGCTTTGCTCAAAAAACTTAGGTTTCATCTACTATTTCTTTCTTTCTTGACTTTTACTATTTTTTTTCAAAATCAGTTTGTGATTTTAAATAACATGTAATTTTTAATCTTTAATTGTGTTAAAAATCATACACAGATTATTAATTCTTTATTTGCATGATATAGTGTATATAATTCTTTCTAAATTTAGTGCAGTGTATCAATACAAAAATGGATGTACCATTTAGCTTCTTTAAAATTATCAACCTTTCACTAAACCATAACATCCATCTGGTAAGTTATATAATAATTTTTTCTTTCACATTTGTATAAATATTTTATTAATATACCACTTATATTTGTTTCATATATGTAGATGCTTTCTACATCTTTTGTTAATTGCTGGAGATACGAACTAGGTGATATAGTACGATTAATTTCATATGATGGTATAATTGTCACAATACAGTTAGAAAGAATCAATGGAGAAATATATCTGGCTAATAGTTGGGAGCAATTTTTCGATTATCATAACTTACAGGATAACTATGTTGTAGTATTTGAATATAACAAAAATTCCACATTCAATATGAGGATATTTGATCATTCTAGATCAGAGGTTACATATGGCTCCGATGTTGAAGAGGACTAGAACGTTTACATATGGATAATCCTGCATTCGAAATAACACTAACACTTAATCACAACAACCATCGAGAAATTGTAGGTGTTCTCTTTAATACTTCATTCTATATTTACCTCTTCCACATAATTTTAATCTTAACATCAGTAAATCATTCATCCATATTTTTCAGTCTATACCAGCAAGGTTTTCAAGACACCATTTGCCAAGACATGTGCGGAATGTTCGGATCCATAACTCTTTACATCAAAACTGGGATATCATCACAAATTTAAGACCAAACGGCGTAGTACGTCGTCTCACTGTAGGCTGGGCAGATTTTCTGGCTGAAAAGGAACTACAAATCGACAATACATGTGTATTTGAATTATTAAATAGCGAATCTCCAATGTTTATAGTCTACAAAAAAAACCAAAACGATGGAACTCTAACACGTCTGTGAAACTTTTTTATTTATAATTATATTCACCACCCAAATAAATAATGTTTAATTTTTATGTTTATCAATTTCACTTTCTCCACAATTAACTATCTTTGAAAGATTTTTATAGAAATTACACTTTTTCCTATTTTTACAATTCAAACATACTATAATGTTTCGCTACCCCAATAACATTCATTCCTCGTATATATCAATACATATATAGTTACACCAATACATATATATACATAGTTACACCGATATGATTGTTGAAACAACCACAACATTCTTATATTTCATATTCACCCAGCTAATGTGCAATACACGTTGCCTCACTAGTTTTAATAAAAAAGCCTAACTACAATTACTATCAAATTTTGATTTTTGGCTCTAAAAAAATAAATAAATAATCTTGAAGTTGGACCCCTGAGTAGGTCAACCAATGGTGGGTCTTGATGAGGACTTGATAGAGATCGAGACTTGCCTGGTTAGAGAATTGTTGCAACTCAAAACTATATCTCTTGTGGGGATGGGTATTAGAAAATATTATTGAACTCAAGTATTTTTTTAGAAGTTTCAGCTCAATTAGCTTTTTCTTGCCTTCTCTATGTATACTTGAATTGCAATACACACATTTTATATACAAAGAGAATATTCCTATTTTTCCTATCTGCTAGTGACGATTGTCTAACCATAAATACATATCCCTTAAATTGAGGAAATACACAGCTATGTGTTGTCAATATTGTTAGTGATATTAACGGCCTATATGATGTAAGATATTTAGAGTTATTGATTAATTCTAACACCCCATCTCAAGGTAGAGTGTGTCTCTATCATTCCAAGTTTCTCTCTGAAGAATATGAATCTCGAGTGAGAGTGAAGTTTTATCAGTATGTCTGCAATTTGATTTGAGGATGGAAAAAAATGCACTTCTAGTTCTTTCTTCAAAACTTTGTCTCTCGCAAAATGGGCATCCAGTTCTGTGTTTGGTAGGGCATGATACACTAGATTTGATGCCAGTGTACTTGCACTCGGACTGTCACACCAGATTTTAGGAATTGCATAACTGAATCCAAGCTATTTCTGATGCACTATAAGCTAGTGCTCTATACTCAACCTCTATGCTGGATCTTGCAACAACATGTTTCTTAGAACACCAAGAAACCAAACTATCTCCAAGGTACACTTAATAGCCTGCTGTATATCTTCTATCATTTGGGCATGATGCCCAATCTGAATTTGCAAATGTTGTTATGCCTAAGCTATCATTCTTCTGAATAACCAAACCATATTTTAATGTACCATTTAAGTGTAAAAATTCTCTTGAGAACCTTCCAATGAGCATCTGTAGGAGCTTGAAAGAATTGACTCATTTTAATTACAGAATAGACAACATCAGGTCTTGAGTGTACAAGATATTGAAGACTGCCAACTGCACTTCTGCAGAGAGTAGGATCACTCATGACTTGCCCTGCATCCTTAGTTATCAACTTAACTACTGCCATAGGTGTTAAGCCTTGTTTCAAGTTTTCGTAACCAAATTTCTTCAACGGATCGACTATATACTTTGTTTGAGTTAGATAAGTCCTGTTGTGTCTTTATAGACTTCAATACCTAAGAATTGACTGAGATTTCCCATATCTGTAATAGCAAAACAAGCACAAAGTTTATCAATTAATATCTACAGTTGTTGGCCATTGTTTCCTGTTACTACTATATCATCTACATAAATCAGTGCAAAAACCACATTGCTTCCATCCATTGGGAAAAACAATGAGTTATCTGCTTTGGATTATCTGAAATTCCACTTCAACGGGGTCTACTTTAACTTATCCAGTAGGAATCAATATAATTTTCAGTTCTAATACGCTAATAACTGGACTAAAAGTTTCACTGAAATCCACTCAAGGTGTTTGTAGAAAACCTTTTGCAACAAGTCTTGCTTTATACTCTTTATCTTGCCTTCTAAGTCACATTTCAGTTTATAGATTTCCAATTACTTTCATTTCTGATTTTGGAGGCACCAATTTCTACTTTTTATTTATTATTCATCAAGGCATCATACTCTTCTTACATTACTTTTATCCATTTATCATTTAACAAAGCTTCATTAGCACTCTGTGGCTCAATTTCAAATAGTTTGTCCTAAACTTGATTTGTATACACATTTGGTTTGAAATTTGTTGCTTTACTTCTAGCGATCATATGATGTCCAGCAGTTTGTGTTACATTCTGATAAACAACATTAGCATCAGTTTCATGATTTTCACATTGCTGATCATCAACATTAGTATCAGTTTCACCATTTCCACTTTGCTGATTATCACCCTGATTAAAACTCAGCAGATATTACATGGTTCATTTCAATACTAGTTCTTTTATTTTCATTCATCTCATTCTCAGTTTCATGTTCCACACTTTTGTTGGCCATTGTTTCCTATTACTACTATATCATCTACATAAACCAGTGCAAAAACCACATTGCTTCCATCTATTGAGAAAAAATAGTGAGTTATCTGCCTTGGATTATATAAAATTCCACTTTAATAGGGTCTCCTTTAACTTATCATAACAAGCTCTTGGCTCTTATCGGAGTTCATAAAGTTCTTTTTTCCAATTTGCATACAAAATTAGGATTTTTCTGATCTCAAAACCTTGTAGTTGATTCATGTACACAGTTTCTTCCAACTTACAATTCAAGAAGGCATTAATTACATTAACTTGCCTGCTTTACTAATCTCTTGACACAACAGGAGTCGATATAATTTTACATTCTGATAATCAACATTAGCATCAGTTTCACCATTTCCACCTTGCTGATCATCAACATTAATATCATTTTCACCATTTCCACTTTGCTGATTATCACCCTGATCAAACTCAACAGATATTACATGGTCCATTTCAGTACTAGTTCTTTCATTTTCATTCATCTCATTCTCAGTTTCATGTTCCACACTTCTGTTGGAGTCTGTTGTAGGTGTTGCATTAGGATCAATTATATCAACTGCACTTTGAGGTGTTATCTGATAGCTTAGTTCATTATCAAAGGGAAGAGAGCTGATGACAATTTCTAAGCCTTTTAGCTGAGTATGAGGGTTTAGAAAACTAGACTTGAAGGGAAATTCTCACCATATGTCTTGAGACATACATTCTACCAACTAAGTTTAGACACTTGTATCCTTTATGTAAATCACTATAGCCGAGGAAAACACACCTTTGAGAGTGAAAATTGAATTTATGGCTTTGTTTTTGTCTTAGACATGGATAACATGCACAACCAAATATTTTTAGTGTTTTGTGATCAAAATTTCTTCTAAATAGGATTTAAAAAGGGGATTTGTATTGAAGTATAAGAGTAGGCAGTCTATTTATCAAATAGGTTGATGTTTTAATGGATTCCTCCAATAGTGTAAAGGCACTTGTGCTCGAGCTAAAAGTGTCAAATCGATTTTAATGATGTGTCGATGTTTCCTTTCTACCCTACCATTTTGTGAGGAGGTATAAGGATAGGAATATCTAAATTTAATCCCTAATTCTAAAGCAATCTTATCAAACCTTCTGAATTTACTTTCTCAATTTGATTGTAACGTTTTGATCTTTCTTTAAATGTTGTTTTCTACTAATTTTTGGAATTGAATGAAGATGCTTAAGGCTTCCAATTTTTATTTCATTAGATAAATCCATGTGAACCTGCTATGATCATCAACAATGGAATTGAATGAAGATGTTTAAGGCTTCCAATTTTTATTTCATTAGATAAATCCATGTGAATCTGCTATGATCATCAACAATGGAATTGAATGAAGATGTTAAAGGCTTCCAATTTTTATTTCATTAGATAAATCCATGTGAACTTGCTATGATCATCAACAAACATGATATAGTACCTAAATCCTGAGGTAGAAATCTTTGGTACTGTTCCCCAAACATTGGTATGTATGAGATCTAATGGATTTTATGCACGTGTTGGAGATGTGCCAAAACGCAAAGCATGAGATTTACCAAATTGACAAGCCTCACATAAATTTAGACTTTCATTAATTTTAACAGCTTTATTACAAGATTAAAAAACTTAACTCGATACAGAACTTGAGAGATGATCTAGCTTTCTATGCCAGGTATCGAACTCAGACTTAAGTAACTTGACACTTTTGGTTGACTCATCACACCTTGAGTTTACTGAGAAAACTGCAAGGATAGAATTATTTTGGTAGCTTGCCTCTATGATGTTGACTTTAGGTTTAGAATTTGGTGGTTTCAGCTGATACAATCCATCTTTAAGCATCCCATACAACAAGAACTCCTTCATTTGTGAATCCTTACCAACATAACAGTTGGGATAAATTTCCATAAATACATTGTCGTCATTTGTCAATTGAGAAACACTAATCAATTTTTTCTTAATTGCAGGCACATAAAGTAATTTACCCAATGTAATAGTCTTATAATTACATGTAAGAAGATCTCTTGTGCTAAAATTAGCAATATTTTCTCACAGTATCTAGATTACTTTTGTCATCAATAACATGGTAGTTTGCTTTAGATTCTGCAAACCATGTTGAGTCCTCTATAGTGCTTGGTAAAGTTACATTGCCAGCAAGATATGAGTTGTTCTGCATATTCTTGTTACCTCGTTTGCTACCTATATATTTGTCCTCATATCTATTGAAACACCATCTAACCAAATGGTTATTCATCCCACAAATTTGACAAGGTCCTTAGTTTCCATTCATACTTCCTACCACTACCAGATCCTATTCTCTGAGTTAACTTCACACTTGACTGATTAACATTCATTATGCCTAAGCCATTCTTAACTTGATTGAGGTATTCATGTTGGAAAAATTTTATCAATTGGGGCCACACATGTATATGATTAAAATATACGTTGCTATCTTATAGTTTTAGTCCATTAAAGTAATCCAACGAATTTAACTTTGGACTAACGGGTATCAATTATTATGGGATTAAAGTGTAGAGGCTGGGTGGTTGTTTTAAATTGATGAGGGGCCAATTTAAAACAAACAAAAGATGATAACTACCTACAGTTATTTATCATGGGGTCATGGTCCCCAATTGACGTGATATTCCATAATTTCTGCATCCCCATCAACAGAGATTTTTTCAAGAATTGCAAAGGAAATCACGGATCAATTGGAAGATTGTAACCCGTTCAATATCACTGTTAATCTATGGATCAAGGTACGTTTCCGCCTTCATTTTGTTCTCTTTGATTTCAACATGAATCAATTGAGATGAAATGATTAAAATTGGATTATTAGTTTCTTTCAAATCTGGATTAAAATCTATCTAGTGGTATCAGAGCCACTCCATTGTTGAATCTTTGAGAAATAAGGGTTTTAGAAATTCTGAAATTTTGGGTTATTTGATCTTCTTTCATGTTATTATATGGATCAAGATCAAGTTGGAAAATTATTGATGCATTTAAAATGTCAAACGTATATTCGGCTATTCAATTCTGCCTGGCTGATTGAATTTTGCCCATTTGATTAATTTATGGATAAAAGATTCTGGCAGCATTATTTGGATTCAAAGTTAGAATTGATGGCTGCCGTGTGAGATAATTAAAAGTATTGAATATGATTCATAATTACAACGGTTGAGTAGTTCCATTCATTTTTAAGATTTCAATTATGTATGAATTGGTGCTGTCTCTGCATTTGTTTACTATTTCGGAAGAAAACAGAATTGGAGTTAATAAATTATGAGTTGCTATGTGTATTTTTTTTTTTGGTTTGGTGCAAATCGCTGTACCACGCAACGTCGTAGCCCTGCTGTCGGTGCTGCGAATGTAGCAGCGGCTATTGGTGGCAGCAGCAGTGCAGGCGCTGCTGCCAGTAGGCCGGCTCTGTTGTTCCGATGCAAGGCTGCGCCGACGCTGGAGCAGGGAGAAAGAGATATAAAGAAAAAAGCGGTTTCTGGGTGATTTTGGGGACAGGGGCTTCAGGTACAATATTGGTTATTTTAGGGACCTTCTTGCAATTTTTATTTAGGTTAAAAATTAAGGATTCAGCCCTTGTAATTTAGAATTCATCCAATTGGGCCTTTCAAGTTACGGATTTAATAATTCAGCCCCCTAAATTTGAAAAATTAATTAATTTGGGCCATTTAACTTCTGAATTTTGCAATTAAAGCCCTCAATGTTCATAATTAATTAAAATTGGCCCCTAAAGTTTCAAAATTTTCAAAATTTTAACCGCTAAAGTATTGAATTATTAACCCTAAGGTCCCTAAAGTTTTCATAGGTATCTATTGATGCAAATTGGGGTTTCTCTTTCTCAAATTTCGGTACTAATACTTCTTTAAGAGGTATTAGTTAACGTTTAATTATTTGTGACAATCTAATTCAAAATTTTGGTAATCATTAATATAAAAAAAAAATAATAAGGTTGTCAAGCATTTTAAGTAAACTAATTGAAACAATATGTCACCAAAGTGACCTCTTTTGTGTAAATTGGTTTGTTTAGGATGCTTGGATGTTGTGTGTGTATCTTTTCATGTGGAAATTAGCCGACCCAAAGGAAGGTTAATATCTGGCCGAATTACATACACACTTGTGGTGATGAATGTGTGACAATTATAAGGTTTCCATGTGACTAATAAATCAATCCAAAGATGTGTTTATTATTTGACAGGAGTTATTGTCAATGTTTGACCACTACACTAAAAGTACCGCTTACAATTAATATTACTATTCAAAGAATTGATATTGATATTGCACTAGGTATCTTGAGATGTGATTTACCATTATTTGAATTTATCAATTTTTAAATGTGGATATTAAATCGAGCATAATTAATCTTTTTTTTTTATTTTGTTCTCTCTACAGCTAGCTCATTTGCTACTATATCTGTCAATATTAATTCTATTCCCATACTTAATGGGACAAACTTTAAGGATTGGAAGAAGAACATATTGATTGTTCTTGACTGCATAGATCTAGACTTTGCTCTTCGGATCAAGCAATCCACTCCTCTTACGGAAGAAAGTTCACTTGTTGAAAAGAGGAACTTTGAGAAGTAGGATTGCTCAAATCGCATGAGTCTAATGATCATTAAGCACGGCATTCCGGAAGCCTTTAGAGGTGCAGATACCGAAGAGGTATCTAATGCCAAGGATTTCCTTGCTGAAATTGAGAAGCGTTTTGCGAAAAATGATAAGGCTGAAACAAGCACTCTTTTGCAGAGCTTGATTTCAATGAAGTACAGAGGCAATGGGAACATAAAGGAGTACATCATGGAGATGTCTCACATTGCTTCAAAACTTAAGAGACTAAAGCTCGAGCTATCTGATGACTTACTCTTCCATTTGGTATTGATCTCGCTTCCTGCACAATTCAGTCAATTTAAGGTCAGTTATAACTGCCAGAAGGAGAAATGGTCTCTAAATGAGCTCATTTCATATTGTGTGCAAGAGGAAGAAAGGTTGAAGCAAGAAATGACTAAAAGTGCTCATTTGGTAAGCACATCTAAGGATAAGGCAAGAAAAATAGGAAGGAATATAAAGCTACTCATAAGGGTCCAGCATAAAAGAAAAAGAAGGAAGACAAAGGAATTGTTTCTTTTTCAACAAACTGGACATGTGAAGAAGGATTGTGCCAAATATCGCGATTGGCGTGCAAAGAAAGGTACAATTCTTACTTTGGTCTGTTCTGAGGATAATTTAGCTTCAGTACCTATAAACACTTAGTGGATAGATTCTAGTGCTACTACTCATATAAGTGTTTCTATGCAGGGCTGCCTGAACTACCGAAAGCTAAATGATGGTGAAAGATACATCTATGTAGGTGATGGCAAATCTGTGGAAGTTGATGTAATAGGCACTTTTAGGTTGTTATTAAGAACTGGTTATCATTTGGACTTGAAAGACAGTTTTGTTGTACCGTCTTTTAGACGGAATTTAATTTCTGTTTCTTCGTTGGACAAATTTGGATATTTTTGTTCATTTGGAAACAATCAGTTTAGTCTTTTATTAAATTCAAATGTTATTGGTACTGGTTTGTTATCTACATATGATAACCGATATTTGCTTGATATTATTGCATCTTATAATGAAACCTTGCATGTGGAATCACGTGGTACTAAACGCAAATTAAATAAAGGAAATTCAGCAAAATTATGGCACAAGCGCTTAGGTTACATATCAAAAGCGAGAGTTGAACGACTTGTATCGGATGGTATTTTGGATTCCCTTGACTTTACGGATTTTGATGTATGTATTGTTTGTATCAAGTGAAAACAGACCAAACAAAGAGATTAGGTGCTAACAGAACTTTGGATGTCTTAGAATTGATATATACAGATATTTGTAGACCATTCCCTACGACTTCCTAGAATGGTCAACAATATTTTATATCATTCATAGACGATTACTCACTTTATAGGTACCTATATCTCATTCATGAAAAGTCTGAGTCATTGGACATGTTCAAAATTTTCAAAACTGAGGTTGAAAATCAACTCAACAAAAGGATAAAGAGCGTTAGATCTGATCGTGATGGTAAATACTATGACAGATATGACGGATCAGGTGAACAATGTCCAGGACCATTTGCCAAATACCTAGAGAAATGTGGAATCGTCCCTCAATACACTATGCCAAGATCACCTAGCATGAATGATGTAGCTGAAAGACGAAACAGAACTCTTAAGGACATGGTAAGGAGTATGATCAGTCATTCCACCTTACCAAAATCACTCTGGGGAGAGGCACCACAGCTTATATTTTGAACAGAGTGTCAACTAAGGCTGCTGCTAAAACACCTTTTGAGCTTTGGACAGACAGAAAGCCTGGTCTAAAGCATTTTTACATTTGGGGATGTCCAGTTGAGTCTAGGCCTTATGGGCCACATGAAAAGAAATTGAACTCCAAAACGGTAAGCAGCTACTTTATTGGTTATTCTGAGAGATCTAGGGGCTACAAATTTTATGATCCCACACTTAAGTCAATTTTTGAAACGGGAACTGCAACATTTTTTGAGGATGTTGAGTTTGGAGGGAGAAATAAGGTTAGAGACATTGTCTTTGAGGAAATAGTTGAGGGAGGATCGATCTTGATTCCTACTATTACTTTTGACAATGTACAGGTTTCTATACCTGTCATTAATCAAAAAGTATATCCAGAACCTCAACAAGATAATGTTGAAGAACTTTCCAACAAAATGAGGTAATTATTCTAGAAGTACAAACTCAACAACATCAAGAACCAATGCCATTAAGGAGATCCATGAGAGAAAGGAAAAATGCTACTCCAGATGATATTATAGTATTTCTCCAAGAACATGAGGAAAATAATGGAATGATTGAAGATGATCCAATCAATTTCCATCAGACCATGCTGGGTTCTAACTCTCGATAGTGGATTGATGCCATGAATGAGGAGTATAAGTCTATGCAAGACAATAAAGTTTGGGATCTTGTCCCATTACCAGAAGGTGCGAAGCCCATCGGTTGCAAATGGATTTTTAAAACCAAAAGGGATTCGAAAGGCAATGTGAAAAGATATAAGGCTCGTCTTGTGGCTAAAGGCTTTACCCAAAAGGAAGGCATCGACTTCAAAAAGACTTTCTCTCCAGTTTCAACGAAAGACTATTTCAGGATAATTATGGCACTTGTTGCGCATTTTGACCTTGAGTTACATCAGATGGATGTTAAGACGGCGTTTCTCAATGGCGACATTGATGAGACGATTTATATGGTGCAACCAGAAAACTTTGTGTCTAAAGACCCGAAGAATATGATTTGTAAATTAAAGAAATCCATCTATGGGCTCAAACAAGCTTCCCATCAATGGTACCACAAATTTCATCAAGTAATTATCTCATTTGGTTTTGAGATGAATGCTGTTGATGATTGTGTGCATCACAAGTTTAGTGGGAGTAAGCATATTTTCCTGATTTTGTATCTTGATGACATACTGCTTGCCGCTAATGATATAGGCATGTTGCATGAAACCAAGAGATTTTTGTCAAGGAATTTTGAGATGAAAGATCTTGGTGATGTCTCTTTTGTATTAGGGAATCAGATACATCGGGATTGCTCTCGAGGTATTCTGGGATTGTCACAAAAGAGCTATACCAATAAAGTACTTAAGAGGTTTGACATGCAAGACTGCAAACCAGGTGACACCCCTATCGTTAAGGGAGACAAATTTAGTCTCAAACAATGCCTGCAAAATGACCTTGAGGTTAAGAAAATGCAGAAAATTCCCTATGCATCAGCTATTGGGAGTCTAATGTATGCTCAAGTTTGTACATGTTCAAACATAGCATTTATTGTTGGAATGTTAGGCAGATATCTAAACAACCCTGGAATGGATCATTGGAAAGCAGCTAAAAGGGTTATGAGGTATTTAAAGAGAACAAAGGATTACATGCTCACATATAACAGATCGGATCAGTTGGAGATCATACGGTACTCCGATTCTGATTTTGCTGGATGCCAAAATAGTAGAAGATCCACATCAGGCTATATCTATCTGCTAGCTGGAGGAGCTATTTCTTGGAAGAGTGCCAAGCAGACACTCATAGCTTTTTCTACCATGGTTGCAGAGTTTGTTGCAACCTATGAGGCATCTAACTAAGGAATATGGCTGCGAAACTTTGTCACTAGGCTATGCATTCTGTACGGCATAGAAAGACCACTAAAGTTCTATTGTGACAACAACTCGACAGTTCTGTATTCCAACAACAACAGAAGCACATCTAAGTCAAAACACATTGACATTAAATTTCTGGTCATGAAGGAAAGAGCACAGAGTGAACAAATTTTCATAGAGCACATTGGGACGAACTCCATGATTGCGGATCCGCTTACTAAGGGATTGCCACCCAAGGTCTTTCATGAGCACACTGCTCGTATGAGTGTCAGATTTATTGAGGACATCGTGTTTTAGTGGGAGTTTGTATTCTTATTGCTTTATGTTTAATTGGATACATTTGTGTATTTGGATATTTTTCTGTACAGAAATAAAGTATTCAGTTCATTTCACTCTGTTGTTATATTCAGTATTGATCTCACTTAAGTTATAAGGTTGGACCAGTTGGAAATAGACATGTTTGGATTACATAACATGTAGTTTTCATGCTACGCTCCTATGATTGATCTATGTCATTTGGTTGTATGGGTGTATGTGACCATTGATGAATTTAGTCATGTTAAGTGTGACGAAAATCGCTTTGATCCTACATCAATATGACTAATGGACGAGATTGTTTGAAAATACCCTTAATAATGATAGCAAATTTTGAGCTCATAAGATTGTGCACATTTAAAAGATTACATGTATGGCGCAGTGGGAGATTGTTGGAAAAATTTCATCAATTGGGGCCACACATGTATATGATTAAAGTATGCATTGTTATCTTATAGTTTTAGTCCATTAAAGTGATCCAACGAATTTAATTTTGGACTAATGGGCATCAATTATTATGGGATTAAAGTGTAGAGGCCGGGTGGTGGTTTTAAATTGATGAGGGGCCAATTTAAAACAAACAAAATGTGATAACTGCCTACAATTATTTATCATGGGATCATGGTCCCCAATTGACGTGATATTCATACCATGATATATCCTCCATGTTATTTAGTTGCACAACAATAGGTGTATATTCTTTATCTAGTCCAGATAGAACTTGAGTTGCCAAATGACTTCGATTTATGGTTTTTTCGGCAATCTGCAAGTTGTCTACCAACTATTTGATGGTAGTAAGATAATTATCATAGACATTGATAATTTTTTGGTCCTTTGCGACTCTCCAATGAGAAATATAACTCAGGATCTATTCATTATCCCAAAGCTTTCCTTTTCTGCATTCCATAGCTTATTTGAGCTGGTGCAACCTATCAATCTCATTGCAATTTTAGGGGTCTTGGATAAATACAATCATCCCATTAATAGCTGATCAATTGAAACCCATTTGTTGTAATTGGGATTTTGAACCATTTCTATGGTTTCTCTAACAGTCTAAGTTTTTAGGAACTCTAGTGGATATAGCTTCATTCCTACCATATATCCTTCAAGGTTGTGTCCTTTGATCATGGGCATAAACATGTTTTGCTACAGTAGAAAATTATCTCTGTCTAGCTTCACCAATGGAGTCTGGATGAGGTTCATCCAAAAGGTAAAGTCTGGTTCACAAGAGATTGAATGGTTGCTACAGTGCTCGACTCGCTTGGAGGAGCTTGTTTTCCTGAATCTGTTTTAGCCATTAGGGCTTTGATACCAAGTTAAAAAATATTACTAAACTCAATTTTTTTTATTTTTTAGAAGTTTCTTCTCAAATAGCTTTCCTTGCCTTCTCTATTTATATATTGAATTGCAATACACACATTTTACATACAAAGAGAATATTCCCGTTTTTCCTATCTGCTTGTAACAAGTGTCTAACCGTATATACATATCCCTTAAATTGAAGAGATACTCTGCTATGTACTGTCAATATTGTTAGTGCTATTAACGGCCTATACGGTACAAGATATTTAGACTTGTTGATTAATCCTATCAGGAACCGGTACAACCACTCTTGCTAGAGAAGTTTTTAACGATTCGTTTATTTTGTATCGTTTTGATATTAGTCCTTGGGTAATAGTAACTCAATCTTACAATGTGGAACGAATCATAATCGCCCTTCTAGATTCCATGGAAAATCTCAATCACGAGATGCATAAAGAGGGCACAGAAAAATTAGCAAAATATTTGTAAAATTATTTAAAAGGTCCAAGGTATTTGATTGTAATGAATGATGTATGGGACTCCAAGATTTGGGATGATTTGAAACAATTATTTCCAGATGACAAGAATGTGAGTGGAATCCTGATGACTACTAGGCTTGAATATGTGGCTGTTTAAGCCAACTTTAGTCCTCTTCTTCATCAAGTGAATTTTCTAAACGAGGATAAAGTTGGAATTTATTTTGCGACGAGGTGTTCACAGAAAATTGGGAAAAAGATATATATATATATATATATATATATATCTGGAATAACAGCAATATTTCCAATGATGATCAATGCTTGAAAGTATTATATGAACTTGCAGCATTAAGATGCCTCATTGGTATACCAAGTCCCTTTTTCCTGCTTAAACTCAGTTTCCCTCCTTCGCTCAAAAAGTTAAAAGGGTTGTGGTCTACCTTGGGAAGATATGATGATTGTTGGTTCGCTGCCTAATCTTGAAGTGGTCAAACTGAAATATTTTGCGGTTTGGGACAAGTGTGGGAACAAATGAAAGATAATTTCTTAAGCTTAAATTTCTACTGTTTGAGGAACTGAATCTGGAGCATTGAAGAGCTGATAGTATCCACTTTTCGATCCTTCAACGCCTAATCATTAGGAACTACACAAATCTGAAGGAGATTCTCTGTGGTATTGGAGAAATACCAACACTCCAAATGATTGATGTGCATAGTTGTTCCAGGTGCACTCATAACATCAATCAAGGAAATACGGGAGTAACAACTGAATTTGGGAAATGATGGCCTTCAATTCCACATATACATGAAATGATTAAGCAACATCAGTTGGACACATTATGGCTTAATGAAGTTATCATATTCTTCACTCCAACACAATACTGGTTCTCATGCAATTTTCCTTTATCTTTTGTCTTTCTTAATGGAAATAATGAAAATAAATTTCTTCAAAATTTTTAGTATGAATTTTGTTGAAAAGGAAATTGAAAGAAGAAAATGGTAGCAGACGGACACGAGACTATAGAGTAATTCCATTTTATTGCTTTAATATCAATCATGAACAGATGAACTTAATATCTTGAATTATAGAAGATGATAGTCAGTTAAGTAAAGCAATTCTCTTCTCTTGTTCTAATAATTCTGTTTTGTATATTTTTCATGTTGGGGTATTATCTCCTATGACTGGCATATATGATTAAGCCCCCGTTTGACCCCCATTACCTAAAAATGAAAATGGGGAGAATAGTATTTTTTAGAAAAATGAGTAGTTGAAAAAGAAGGAAAAGTTTTCGATTTACGTGTAATATTATTTTATGGAAGATGGTGTGGTTGAAAATAGGAGAGAGAGAAATGGAATGGAATGTAATTGAATTTAATGGGGGATCAAACGGGGGCTAATTAACAAGGGAATTTTTCATATATTAGGTATTAAGTATATACCAATTCAATTTTCAGAGATTAAGCGCTTGTTTGGTGGGAATTAAAATCTGATTTTTAGTAGATATTGACAAAAATTGATGAAATATGTGGCTGAAAAGTTGTGGGTCATATGAAATATATGATTAAAATTAATTGTTGACTTTGATTTAGATTAAAATATAATTTGTACCAAACATGGATAAAGTTTAAAATTTCAAATTTGTGCGTTAATTCAATATTTTAAATTTAGATAATAAACCTATCAAATTAAATTTGTTTATCCACCCTTCCAAACCCTCATCCCCACAACATACCACCCCAACTCCTACGGCACCCATTGCATTGTCGTTCCCTCATACGGTCGCTAGCATCTATCTATCGTCAGCATCCACCCTCCGGCATCTACACTTGCAATTGTTGGCATCCAAATAACTTCATTAGAGGAAAGATAGAATTTACAAAGATCGTCAACAATTTCTTCAGCGATGAACTGATTGTCACTCAACGACGACTAAGCATCGCCAGCTCAAATAGTAAAGATAGAGGGAGAAACATAGCAGTCATTGGAGAACATTGATTGAGCATTTTCGATGACTAATCATCTTTTTCAAAGGTGACAAAGTAAAGCTTATGTAATTCAAATCTATTTTTTTAAATTAAAAATTGAAAAATAGTCCAAAGTGTGATTTACAAAGTACTCACCAGAACGAATACCTTCAATTCTCATCATCAAAATCTGGTTAGTTGAATTTGTGACCAGTTCGAAAAACTAAGGTTGGATATGTCAATGGTATGTGAGCAGATTTCTTGAATTTGTGATTTGTGACCTATGCACTTAGACATATGACCTGTTACATGTGACCTATGACCATATGAACATTGATCTATGACTAATTTTAATTGATCCATGACCTACTCATAGTGACTTGTAACCTGTGGACATTAGTATGTGACCTAAGCACGGTAACCATTGATTTGTAACCTATACAATATGACTTGTGAAGTGTGACTTGTGACATACAAATAAGATTTGAGACCAACTTTGTTTGATTCATGACTAGTGAATATTTATGTGATAAATGTACGGTGACCTATGACTTGGTACATGTGACCCGAGACCTATGACCACTATCGACACCACAAGAGATATCAACATAGCATCTGACATAACATGTCACCACCACCAACACCACAAGCATCATCACCATAAAACCACCTCAAAAATACAACAAAACTGCCTCAAAAACCACAACAACCACAACAAAACCACCACAAAAACTACCAAAAATCACCACACAAATCACCACAAAGCTGCGCTCTAAAGCCTAATCGAAAAAATTGGGAAGTGGGATCTTAGAAATTGATTTCTATCTCCTACTTCCAGAAATAGTAGAGGAGAAATGGTAGAAAGAGTATAGAGCCAAAATGATAGAGAAATATTAATAAAGAGATGGAAGAGAAATAATAGGTTAGAAAGAGACAAAATTGGGATTAAATTTAGCTCTGGGTGAGTTAGGGGGTGGAGTGTAATTTAATTTTATAATATATTATTATTAATATTAAAGTATGAAATTACCACTTGATTTTTGGATAAACAAACCTTCAACCCGTTTTTACAATTTTTTTGAATTGTAATCTCTAAAAAACTATGGCAACGTAATTTCCACAATTAACAATTGTTATATGAGCTATCTAATTAAGTAGGGCCAATTTAAGTTATGTAGATATTCGACCACCCTAGAAGAATTTATAGGGTATGAGCTTTTAAATGTGCAGTTATTCATTATTAGACTAATTTTGGTTAATAAGAGTCCAATTAAAACGTAATGTATAATGGTCTCCAAGGTTAATCATTCATGATTGTGCATCTTCTAAGTCCCCGGCATTGAGAGAGAACCCATTGAGTACGGTGATTAATTTGTGGAAGACCTCAAACCCCATTGATTCATCACCTTGAATTCAGGTATGTTTTCTCTTTTATAGAATTCTTGATAATTTGACATGAGTGACCATTGAGAAACATTTTGACGTTTGATTAGTAACCATGACCATAGTAAAAGTTGAGTAAGTAATGAAATATTTTATTTGGATAAGTTGTAATTTTTTACGGGCGTACCTTGTCAAGTTGAATTTCATTCGACGCTTCAATAATGCGGGAATGAAATTTGATGGGTTATGGATGAAGTGCAAAATGACAAAGTTTAATTGGCATTGTAAAACACTTCAGTAAGTAAACATTAATCATGGTATAAATTGTGTGAGTAATGAAACATTTCTCAAATTATTTGATGCTTTATGATAGTAAATTTCTAATACTAGGCCCCTGTTTGTTGTAACTAAATTTCTTTTATTAAAAATTCAAGATAAAGTTAACGATTAATTTTAACTACACATTTTATAAGATCCACAACTTTTCAAACACACATTCCATTTACTTTTATCAAAATTTATAAAAATTTGATTTTTATCTAAACCCAACATGGGGTAAATTAAATTTTATTATTTTAATAAACATCAATGTTGATATTTTGATTTGATCTAATTAAGTATTCACAAAATTTATACTAATTTATTAACTATTAGATTCTTCATTATTTTCAATAGTTTTTGTAGCATTATTATATTAGTATGGGTCGCATCAATAGTTCCCTATAACAATAATTCTAAACCTGTTTGCCAAGTATCTCTCCCTATGAAAAAATTCCGGCCATTTGCCTATTCAATCATGCTTGTGTACAATGATTTTGACAACATTGTTAACATATAACGTGATATATTGCAATTAGACAATTTTAAAATAATCCGTCTTTCCCACCAACCTTTTCTTTTTTGACAATTACAGCATTATCAACAATGTTGTACAAATAGATTTATCCTTGCCTACTAATATCAAGTTTNCCAACCTTTTCTTTTTTGACAATTACAGCATTATCAACAATGTTGTACAAATAGATTTATCCTTGCCTACTAATATCAAGTTTTTCCGGTTAGAAAGACCATCGTACTCTAATTTTGATTAAACAATTAAAAAAACACGTGGACTATAATAATTTCTTTCCATTAGAAGGCTAAGGCCATTTTCAAGACACGATACGTGTATTATATATGCACGTTTCTTCCTTAATAATCATATTCCTCACATAGCTACCTACCGTGTTAAGGCCAACCAATTCATCTTAGATAATCCACGAAACATCAGAACTCCCTGGATCTGTAACTGGTCCCGCAGACGTATGATTCCATGTTCCAGGATCCTGAGCAACTCTGTTGGCAATCGGGGCTTGAGTTGGAGTCTGGCTACTAGACGCGGGTGTGGTCACATTTACGATTGGTCGTGTAGCTTGAGCTTTCTGGGTTGGCTGGATAATGAACTGGTTCAAAGCATCAAAGTAAGCTTGACCTGATAGAGCTCCACGCATCCGAGCAGTGGGGCGCCAGTTCTGATCATAAAGTGATGCGCCTTCCGGGGACGGTACCCTACACCCTTCAGGATTGATTTGAAACGGGTTCATGGTCTTCGATGTTTCAACGGGCATGGTCACCTGGGCATTGACATTCCTCTGGGCAGCAATTGCTAAATGATCTTGTTGGCTACCAATGGCCGCTTGACCCGTTTCACTCAGTGGACCTCTTTGATGAACCTGAGGCTGATCATTTGACTGCATAGAAGAATGGATCAAGCTTAAAGAGTGATTCACTGCCTGATCAATGACCCCTGTTGCCTGACCGGTTCCACTTTGTGGAACTCTCTGATGAATTTGTGGCTGCGAAAAATTTGCATTCCACTGCATAGATGATTGAATCGAGCCCACCGAGTGATTCATTGCCCGATGTCTACTGGTGGCACCAGTTGCCTGACCAGTTACACTCTGTGGGGCTCCCTGATGAATTTGAGGCTGCGAGAAATAGGCATTCCACTGCATAGATGATTGCATCAAGCCCGAGGCGTGATTCATTGCCTGATGGCTTTCAGTGGCGCCTGTTGCCCGACCAGTTCCACTTTGTGGACCTCTCTGTTGAACTTGAGGCTGCGAGAAATTGGCATTCCACTGCATAGAAGATTGTGTCGAGCCCAAGGAGTAATTCATTGCCTGATGTCTACCAGTGGCCCCTGTTGCCTGACCTATTTCACTCTGTGGACCTCTCCGATGAACTTGAGGCTGTGAGAAATTGGCATTCGAATGCATAGATGCGTGGATCGACCCTAAAGAGTAATTAAGTGCCTGATGGCTACCCATGGCCCCTGTTGACTGGCCAATTCCACTCTGTGGACGGCACTGATGAACTTGTGGCTGTGAGAAATCGTTATTTGACTGCATAGATGATGGGATTGAGCCCAACGAGTGATTCAGTGCCTGATGGCTACCAGTGGCCCCTGTTGACTGACCTATTCCACTTTGTGGACCCCTCTGACGAACTTGAGGCTGCGAGAAACCAGCATTCGACTGCATGGATGATTGGATGGGGTATAAATACTGATTCATTGCTTGAGATGTCCTGCGGCTCACAGTATCCAAACTTGGACCTTGGCACGAGTTTTGAGGCTGAGTCGGAGCCCAAAGACCATTCTGCTAAGACATAAAAGGCCATTTTTATGAATGATTTTAAAGGTCACGATTCTACAAACGAGATTCTTGAGAAGCCTAGAAAGCTATTCTATTCAAAGTGTGCGGCATCAATGCATGTATATGTAGACAAAACAAAAATGAAATAGATGGATAAATGGATCACAAACTCGTAAAAATACAAGGCACTTTCTGCACCTTTGGTATATAGTATTTGATAGGACGTGGCAACTATATTATAGACAAGATCTCAGCTGCCGCTTTTTCTTAATATTGTCAAGTCCAAAAATTGCGTACCAAACATGCATTTCAAGTCCAAACATATTCCATGATTAAAGAAACATCGAGAAGAAATTTTAGCCCCTGTTAGACAACCATTAAAACAAAACTTTTTTTTTTTTTTCAAATTCATTTTCAACCAACATTTTTACAATAAAATATTTTGCACATAAACAAACTTTTTCCTAATCATTAACCACACATTCTTCAAAAAACACTATTCAAAAACTCATTTTTCCCCAAAAATTCATTTTAATGGTTATCAAAAAAGGGGCTTAATGGCCAGGATGCAAAGTAATTTTCAACTGGGAAATAATTATTACCTGTATTCCAGGGTACTGTGGTAATGAAGATGAAGCCATCTGTGACACTTCAAGTAGATTTGGATGAGATCTAGAAAGTTGCTGCCGACTTCCTCCACTACAAGGTACTGTAGAGAAACCAGTAGGAATCAAGGTGTTCATATAATTTCTAGGTATTTGCTGAAGAGCAGGCTCAGGGGCCTGTTCAGGGAGTGCCTGAAATGCAATTAATGTCCTGTTTACATGACCTGTCGTTGACTGTAATCTTCCATGCTCATTACTCGAGGTCGGATTTCCATATTGAAACTGCTGCAAGGGTAACGTATGGGGCAAAGGAGTTTGACTTCGTGATCCAGAGGTGGCATTATGAGCATTGGCATGAAAAGTCTCTGCTTCGCAATAAGGAGCTGGAATTATTGCATCAGCCGTATTAGGAGACGAATAAAAATTATTTGGAGTGAACCCAAAAACACTGGCAATCTGTGGTTCAGAAACATTTGATCCCCATCCAACAGAGAACTCATTCTCCACAGGAACACTATCATGATTAATGTAGTTTGTGTTAGCCGCTTGAGGCTCAACCATCAGATTCTGAGTTTTAGACAGATTTGCACATGCATTCAGGGAAACTTTTCTATCTTCAGTTTCTTGATTGTCATTTGAATCTATCCTGTCATTTATCACAGTAAGATCCAAAACATCAGATTCTGGCCGTGCAGACCCATCCTGTCCAAAGATGGAGGCCAAATCCTCCGGCTTCTCATTGCCATAAATTTCAGAGGTGGCATTCCATGACCCATCTGAGGACACAATTACCCTAGTGATATTTGTTCCAACCTCTTTCAATATCTGGGAAAACAAACAAAAAAAGGTTAATTTCATAACATCACTCGAAAGCAAAGGAAGTCAAAAATAAATCAGTAATACAAATAAACTTGCCTCGACCATCTTTTGACTAATGCGGATGTCAGTGAAGCAGGTGTGCTGATTACATTGTGGACAGCGCCAGGATGGTCGTCTTGAATTTATATTCACATAGTTCTCAAAATCAAAACACTGAAAAGGAGAGTGAATAAGATGTCTAATAAGGCTGATTCGCAGAGAGGAGAGGAAAGGTTATGAAAATCCACCAGAAATACGATAATAAAGACTTTTATCCTTTTTCAGATTTTCTTAGATCATTAATAATTATAATCCAAGTTGGGGATTTCCAGCCTACTTGATTCTGTGATTTCTAGTAAAGTCAATTGTCAAGATATTTCATTGCATTCTTCAAGGGAAGTTTCTGATCAAAGTTTCAAAACTCACCCACAGACCTATCAAAGAATTTTGAGACTCGACTATGGTTACAATATCTAATGTTTATGCACACTATGCAGCTAGGCCAGTGCTACTAAAGATACTTCTATACCTTATGGAAGTTACCCAGAATACAAAATCGTAAGGTATAGCATTCCCTATTGTGCTTGACGAGAACTTCTCTACAATTAAGATATATACATATTTACCTGAAGATGTTTGCACAAATGTCCTTTGACAGGAGTTTTAATGCGTATTAAGCTGTTGAAGATTATAAAAGAAGATAAACTAGTCAGCAAACTTCAAGGTGCAGCAGTTGGAATTGAGATGCTTGGAATGATGATGAAGAACTATTCATATTGTCCCTCGAAGAAAATATGACCCAAAATGAGCATAATATATCTTAGAAACCAAATTCAAGATAACTATGTTCAGACATTGCAGCTGCACACAAACATGTGACGTACTCCTGTCGATCATTCGATGTTTTCATAGTTCATGACAGATGTCAATTACCCTTCAGATCAGAAAGCAAGAATACATGCATCACAAAGTAAAGAAAGTAGATGTGCCCAAAAAAGTGCCAAGGTTTAACTTACAGAAACAGAAAATCTGATATAAAAACAATTAAGGTTACCTAATGGGACAATTTAGGGATATCTGTGACGGTCCTTCAATTACTTCAGAGTCTACATGGACGGAAAAAGAAAATTAGCGAACAAACAAGAGATAGTCTAGCAGGAACTAACATAGAGGGAAAAAAATCTAACTCATGACTCCTGTTATCATAAATTGACTATTGACAATCTCAATCTGACAGTTTTAAATTTTCCAGAACGTTTTCAAGTCTCACCTGAATCTATGGTTGCAGGAGCAGGATATGCATATTGTTGAAGGGTGTCACTACTGGGGATTGATGTCACACTCATTAAAGCAACAGCAACAATATAATTTCCTTCAACAATGATTAACATGGATAGTAAGTGCCTTTAGAATATCCATAAACAAAACCAGCAGAACCAGACATACCGTTAAACTCGCCTACAGCTTGAAGAAGATTTGTTCTATATCTAAGCATACGTGTCACAACTGTTGGATTTTGAGGTCCAGAGTCCTAGTGAAAATGAAAGGTATATATTTGTAGAACTTTCATGAATATAATTAGCTTTAATATAGTAAAAACACTGTACTACATTAAGTTCACAAGAATCAACTAACCACATACACAGTAGTCCTCCTTTCTACTCCCTTGCCATTTATGAGAAAACTACGAAGCGAAATGCAAAGGGATGCTTGGAATATTTACAATTAAGTGAAAAGCAATTTTATTAAATGTAACTAGTAGTAAACACAGTGGAACAAATTGCTTACTTCACTTTGGGGGGACTAATGAGACATGAAGATGTCTCCATATTATCTGTTTGCACAACAAATAACCTCTGCATGCAAAAGAAAAACAAGATGATCAAGCCATTGATATCAAAATTTTCCTTCATATCCGTAAAGAGATACGGAAAGAGAAAGGAACAAGCTTAATTCAGATATGATTTAATATCAACCACTGAAAATGTGAACATAACTAAGCTGAGCTTTATGAGTTCCGTGCTAATATTTCTAACATAAAACCTGATACTGATTATTCATATATACTGAAGCCCAAAATAGATCAAGAAGAAACACCTGATACTCATGATTGTTTCCCAAATATTACAGACTAGTTATATACATCATTAAAATTTATGAAAACTGGGTTAACAGCAAAACAATCATCAAGGATTCATGGTTACTAAAATTATGTTGCTCCTTAAAATTCAAATCACTCCCCGTCCCTTTTATAATTGCAATGGTGAAGGTTAACAGTATTAGTTTGGGAATTTATGAACTTCTTTAAACCAAGAGATGCATAAATTATATCCCTCTATTTTCATACAAATGAAATCCAAAAGGTATTGTTTAATATTTCAGAAAATATATAGATCATCTAATGCCTTGCAAACTGTGTTCATCTTGCTGCTTATTGAAATGGCTTATAAATTCAGAATTAACCATGCATCATTATCTGCTGGGGATTAAAATTTGCTGTTTCCTACGTTGTTGAACACCTGGTATTCAAACTTATTTGGTCGTTACCTAATGCTTTTTCATGCATTTTATTTTTTATTTTTATAGGAAGTGTAGAACAGACCAATAACAGTAAAGAGAGGCTGTGCAAATTTCAAACGTTACAATATAGCATTTGGGTAAAAAAAAAAAGTTAAAAAATAAAAATAATAAAATAAGGCTTTCCACAGGACAGCGAGATTTTCATATTAGTTAAGCACAAGGAAGATTATGGTTTCTATTAGTTTTCAAGGCTCTCAGGTTCCAATCTGTTGACACCAGTCACAGAATATACCGTTCATTATACCTCCCCTTCTATATTCTTAATCTTGCACTAAGTAGGAAAAACTGTCACCGTTGCTTAGAGGTTCATTTTCCATCCAATCGCTTCCATTTCCTCCAACCTCATTCTTAAAGCAGTATGGGGCCCTAAGAGAATAAAGGTTAGAAGTCATTTACACCCAATTAAAGCCTCCAATACCCATCATTGAAAATCTGTGTCGAGTATACATCTCTTAGCATTTCCCATTAGACAAAAGTTATTAGATTTCACTAGAATATTGCAGATGAAAGACTGAAATGCAACTTTATTGTTATAATCTCACTCCAAATGGAACATCTATAATTACAGAAAAGCTACAAAAATATGGCGAAAAGAACCAGTGCCCAACATTATCATCAGTCGGAAAACATTTCTACCTTATCATTGCTCTTGAATTATTAAATCCCAAGACACATCATTGGTCAGTTTACCATACGAATTCAGTCGATAAGCATTGTTTCCTCTATATGTTATACTGCATTTTTATAATCACAAAATTATTTAACTTCACTTTTTAACAATTTAGCTCAAAAGCATCAGAAGCACTAAAAGCCTAGGTCAAGCTCAGTCATAATAATGACCTTTAAGCAATAATTATTTACTTGTGAGGAAATGACGACATATCATGATCAGCGGTTGGTACTTAATAAACATAAATAAATATAAGGCCACCCTCTAAACTCCTTGTCAAATATTAAAATATAGAAAGTACCATTTCTGCAACCATGACTAAATTTTTCAGAAATAGGTTACAAGTAGTACAGAATTGACTTGTGCACTTTTTATGGACAATGATTAGAGGTAACACACCAAGTAGATGGAGAAGCTTAGCTTGTCATAAAAACATCATCTACTGGGTGTCATGCATACTTATCATGACTAGTATCAAATTAAAGGCATTCCCCTGAATATGCAAGATCCAGCACATGAATTAACATTGGAGATGCTTACTATTCCATCTGAAGGAGAAATTGAATTCTTCAAAATTTGGAAGTCATTCATAAAAGCACCATATCCAGGCTTCAAAATAGACACAAAGTGCATTAATACTATCAATTAAATGTAATGAGATCCAATTCTGGGGATTGGGAAGGGGGGAGGAAGATAAGATAGACAACCTTAATCTCAAGAGAAGCAAATATGTGTCCCATTTTCATTGTTGGATAGAACCTGCATGCAAACACACAGCCACAATGTTTTGAGTGGCATCATTCAATGGCAAAAATAATTCACCAGAACCACAATGTCTTTCATTCTTTATTGTATTGTCTATAAGACAAAAAAAATCAATCATTTTTCCAAGTGTGTGTTTGTGAGCTAAGTTGTAAATTAAGTAAACTCAAGATAACGGTTCTTCGTGAGAAACCTTTAAATTAGAAAGACAACATATATAGGTTCAAGACACACAAAAGGCACCAGATGTTTTACCACACGCATGAATACATATACAACTGTGTAAACCTTGTTGAACCTACTGTACTAAGGGAACACAAGGAAAGTATATGAATATGATGAGAACTAGTTGTGTAGTATATAGTTAACTCACTGCACATAACCTGGCACTGAGTACGACTGTATCACTCTATACTGACTTCGAGAAAAAAAAATTCTTGAATGGGCACACAAAATTTTTTTGCAACAAGGAAAGAGTTAAAACAATATGAGCAACACCTTTTCCATTGCAAGCAAGTACCCAGTTACTTAATTAGTGCAATTGAAGATAAATAAATTAAAAATAATAATAACGAGGCATGCCACCCATCAAACTTCACTTCACTTACTAATGGAAAAAAAACATAAGAGACGAATATGAAAAGATTGACTCTATTGCCACCTTTACCATTCATCTAGACAATTAAAAAATGAAGATGATTACGAGGCTGTCATCAGCATGACTGTGAAAAATCCTAGAAGGATAAGTAGAGAAGTAAACGATGGACATATTTTTTGTGTAAATTTTGCATTCAACAGTCGCCCTTACATGCAAGCTAACAATCCCGATTACATGCAAGCCAGATCATTTCTTCATCAAATGCTTCAAGCGATCATAATTTTCATAAACTGGTGCAACAAGACTTGAACCTATAACCTTTGCATAAACCACTTCATTTAAAAGCTCAACGATTTAGAGAAGGGGCATATATATATATATATATATAAATTTTGTCTTCAACCTCTGTCAGTAATTTTTTCCAATAATCTCGAAGCATGCAATTTACGGCTTCAATTCATATTTATTACCATCCCATTGAAGAAGAGCTTATGACTTGTTTATTTTTCTTATGACGTGTTTATTTTTCTTTTTACATCATCATCATCAGATTTTTCTGCAAGAATATCTCCAGTAATATAGAGTCATTCACTGACTAGTAGATCAACCAATACTAAAATTACTAGCTTGCACTAAGCTTATTGAGTGTAAGGATGCTTTTCAGCTTGTTCCCACCAAACTCTACAAAATCAAAATTGATGGGCATGCGTTCATGCGTACTTCAACTTTTGTAGCATAGGCAGATAATCATCCCCATTAAGTTGGAACTACTACAAAACAATTCACAAAGTCAGCATATTAAGTACGTTACCTTGACATGATTTCTGGGATAATGGAAACAGAACTGCTTGGCTCTGTGATTAAGTTTGAAACACAACAGAAATTGCTTCCCATCTAAATATGCAGAAAAAAAGATAATAAGATCAGTATAGTATAAAATATCCCACCATGAAAATATGGAATACAAAAGAAAAATATTAAGCAACCTCCTTGAAGAGAATACAAAGTTCTTCTGAATCCCTATCTGAAAACCATCCGCTTTGACAAGCATTCTACCAAATAATTGTAACATGAGTAAAAGAGAGAAAATAAGAGAATACTTCTTGGCATTTAAAGCATTTTAGATTTCTATATGGGTGAACTCTAAAGGAGCATATCCACAAATTCTCAAGGAAAGATAAAATGATACGAAATCAAGGAAAACATAGTGAAAGTACAATGAGTAGTATACTATGCATGCATACATCACACACCAGATTTCCTGACCTTTTTCTCTAGCATGCTTTTGGGAATTAATACCACCATCAGGTCAATGTAACATGGTTCTGTGCAATTCTAGTTGCAAAGAAGAAAACACGCTTCATAAATGCTTTATTTGTCGTGCCTAATTCTGTGTATTGGCAGGTGCACGTGATGCTAAAGGAGCTGTTTATTTGTCATGTCTTAGTACATGGAGTTGCCAGGTCCACACATCCTACAGGAGCTCTGGGCCATGCATGCACAGAGTCCTTATTTAGTACCACAGCAACATGCAACTTGACTTGGTCCTTGTCGAGAGAAAATCAGTATGCCCAAATAAAAATAAATTTGCACACATGTTGTCTGGTGGAAAGAATTACCTTAGCAGAAATTATTAAAACCATAATAGCTGGTTGCAGTAGGTTGTCGTTTTTGCATTGACAGACCTATAAGGTTTTAGTTGTTTAAAAAGAACAATAAGGTATCAGAACACAATTTTACTACATATTAAAATAAAAGACTTAGGTTAACAATAAAGGGCATAAAACTAGCAAACCCTATGAAATGAGGTAGTGATAATGGAAGTATGAATGACATAAAGCCCCTGTTTGGTTTAGCTAAAAAATTTGATAAAAAATTAAGTCAAAGTCAATAGATAATTTTAGCCACATTTCATGAGATCCACAACCTTTATCAACCTTTCAAGCACAAATTCATCAACTTTTTATCAAAAATCTACTAAAAACTTGATTTTACGCAAAATCAAATAGGTTTATAGATATCTAAAATCGAATAGGAGTAGAAAATATAGTGTGGAGGCTTTTTCAACCCACTTAAGATAAACAAAATAAAGCTGTTGTGATCAGAGTCAATGTTTTCAATGAGATTATAATAGACGACCATGATCAAGCGGTGATAAAGCAAATGGCATCATGAGAATACAGGAATACAACAGACTACTCAACTATGTCAATAAGATTACAAAAAAGGCCTGGTTCAATTTCAGCACACCCACAACAATTCGACACTTTTAAGGCTTGCATGCCTGTAATATATGGCTTATGGTACACATGCAGGAGACTTAGTAAAAATGATAAGACAACTGGGCAAGCTACTTATCAATAATCAGAAAAAGAAAAAAAATGCTGCCAGTTAACAAATGAGGTAACCACAACCTGCAGCAAGTACTTTAGCAGATCAGTTCAGAGTATTCTAGCAGGTTGGTCATTAATAAGTGTAGTTTCCACACTTATTCGGGGTCCTAAATAATGATATTTTGTTAATGATTGGATGGATTAGTGCCTCATTTCTTATTTATTGCTTTTAGTAGGAAAACCTTATGTTTGGGAACAGAATTGAAAGAAAGAATAGAAAATGGCTAAAATGAAGCAAATTCAAAGTTAGGGGACTAAAGTGCAAATACTCAAAAGTTGTGTCGGACCTCACGATGAAGATTTGAGAGTGCTAAGGTTAATAAGACAAGGAAAGAAGTTAAAGGGATGAAGCATGGTCAAAATATTATCACACGTCAACATTCAGCCGAAAGAGTTAAAATTCAAATTTTCAGTTTCTATTTGAGACCCATTTTCGACGTAGAAATGTTAGAATTGGAAAAATGATATTGCTGGAAGATTTGTAGCCCTTTTGATTTGCTTTTCAATGCACTTTGAATTACCTTAATTGGATATCGGGAGAAAAAGCTATGACCAAAATGCTGAAAGTTGTCCAGCAAAAAATATTATACCAATGCGGCCGCGTCTAGGCCTCCAGGGCCCCAGGTCCAGCTATGATTTCTTCTATGCGGCCGCTTCCATTTGTACTATGTGATCGCATAGTACATCTCTGAGGCGAGATTTTGTTTCCTTTCCAGTTAAAATTCTACTTTGGTAACAATCTTCTAGGCATCCTTTCAATACTATAATTCGTCCTGAACATAGGAGACCTCCCTAGACCTAAAATTCATATATTCTATATATTTTGGAGGCAAATAACGAAGCCAATTCATCAATCTGATAGACCGCCGGTTCTAGAAGGGTCCGGAAGGATTGAGAAATAAGTGCATCAACAGATTTCTGTTACTATGGCACGTGAAGGGAGGGAATTAGTTAGGGAGTAGCTATAAATAAAGGTGGGAGGGAGGGTAGAGCCTAGGCAAAAATTGAGTAAGAGTCTGAGTTATTGTTCTTGTTCACAGCCTTCTACAGGCTTTAATATTTTTTTAGCACTTGTAATCGATCCATATTCAATAAAATCAGTGTTTGAGCTTGTTCTTCGCGATGGTATCCTATCGAATGGTATCAAAGCAGGTCTTTCCGATGGCACAAAAGAAAATAGACGGCCGCATCGACACTGTAGAGAAGGAATTAGAGGAGATGAGGGCAGAGATGCGAGGCATGGGAAAAACAATGGAGCAGCTAGCTCAAAACGTGGCAACAATAATGCAGGCGATGGAGGAGACAAGGAAATCGATGGAGAAATCGAGTGTGACAGGAGGACCGGAGCAGCCGAAAATCGCAAAGGAGCACCATGTAGTTAAACCAGGAAAGTGGCAGGAAGGAGTTGGGGAAGCCAGTTATGGAGGGACTATAACCAACACGATGCAGAGCTAGGAAGAGGAACACTAGCGACGGGTGTGAAAACTAGAGATATCCGTTTTCAGTGGAGAAAACCCAAACGGTTGGCTGTTTCGGGCAGAGAGGTATTTCAAAGTAAATGGGCTTACTAAACGGGAGAAACTGGGAACAATTGCAGTCAGCTTGGACGACGATGCATTGTCGTGGCTACAATGGACTGAAGCCAGAGCTCCCATTCAGTCGTGGCCGCAAATTAGAGAACAGTAGCTACTGCGATTCCGGTCGACGCCGAACTTCTGTGAGAAACTTTTGGCCATAAAACAAAGGAGGACGGTGGTAGATTTTTGAAGGGAATTTGAGGTGCTGGCCATGCCTTTGAAGGGAATTTTTGACTAAGAATGTGTTTGATTGACATGGAAAATATCACCTAAAAAAGAAAATGTTTTCCTTGTTACGAGGAAAATAAAAACCACCTTCACCCAAGAAAAATATTTTCCTTAAAAATAAGGAAAATTAGGCATATTTTCAAAAGTTGGAAAATATTTTCCATAGAAAAAAATAGTAATCAAACACTGTAAGTAAGAATTTAGGTGAAAAACTGATATTTTTCATGGAAAATAAATGTAATCAAACGCACCCTAAGTGCTAGAGAGCACCTTTGTTAATGGGCTCAGGCCACAAGTAAGGGCTGAGGTGAGGTTACTGGGCCAAAGGGTTAGGCCCAATTGAAGAAGTTGCCCAGAAGATTGAGGATAAGAATCTAGTACTTAACAACTTTCAGCCCACAGCCCATGAATCAATGGAACCCAATTCATCTCAAATTTGATCAAAGGCCAAGATACTCCAGACATTCCCAACAAAAACCATCACCGTGAAGGAGAAAACTTCTAGCAATCAACGAGAATATCCAGTCAAGCATTTGATAAATGTTGAGTGGCAGATGAGGCGGGACAAGGGATTGTGCTTCAAGTGCGAAGAGAAGTACACGGTAGGCCACCAATGTCGAAATTGTGAGCTCCGTGTGCTGTTGGTAGAAGGGGAATGTGGAGAGGAAGAGAAAGAAGGAACTTACGGGCAAACTGCGGAGAAACCTATAAAGGTGAAGGACACGATAGAATTATCTCTTAACAATGTGGTCAGACTTTCTACACCGGGCACTATAAAATTGAAGAGTAATGCTACACCTACAAAGGAGGATGACAAAGTTGGTTGACAAAATATGAGTTGGCAATATCTTTATCACTCATTTCAAAAACAGTTTTTGAATTCAAAACAGATTAACGGCCTAGATCTTGCCAACATTGATTTTGTCAACAAACTTTGTTAACCTACTTTGTACAAGTAGATTGATTGAAAATTGAAAGGTAGAATTGGTACAAAAACTGGGACTAACATGACAATATTTTTGCTGAATGAATTTCTCGTGTGTCTTGGTTTTTCTTTATAGAAGTTATTTTAGGATACAAAGTATACATGGAAACTAGCTATTATGTACAAGGAAACTACCTAAATTGCAGTAAGTAAATAATTTCTAAATAATTTCTAATAATACACGCTAATACCCCCCCTCAAATTGATGTTGGGGAGTCCACAAGCATCAATTTGCTGACGAGATAATTAAGACGGTGGCGAGTTAGAGATTTGGTGAAAATATCTGCGACTTGTTGAGAAGTGAAAACATGGGGAAGAGCGATGACCTTGGAATCATAGGCATTCCGAATATAGTGACAATCTGATACGGACATCAATTATATTATTATCGCACTATTTTACTTTTTCTAGTTATTGAGCTTGTATTATTGGTTTGGCCCAAGCCCATCACTAGTACGGTTATGCTTTTACTATTTATTTGGTTTTCAGTTGTAATTTCAGTAGACGGTGATGAATTAGAATTGAAATATTGTTTGGCTTGCAGCCGTTTTTCTCCCTCCCCTCTCTTCCCCTGGTTTCTTCTCCTCTTCTCCCTCCTCTTGGTTTCTCTCCCTCTTCCCTTCTTCTGTTGTTTAATTACTCTGCAGGAATCCCCTTTTTATCCTGCATCAAAGTGGTATCAGAGCTAAAACCTGGTTTCTTTTGTTAAGGTGCTGCTTAAATTTGCTTACTGGAACATGTACTGAAACCTAATCGAATATACAAACCACCCCGTTACCGTCTTCATCTATTACCTATACACTGACCAAATCCCCAGCAACCATCTGCTGCAATTCCCCACAGCAATCGAACTCCCCACATCATATTATCCACACTTCAAACCGGCTACTGCAAAATCCAAAACCGTCATCACCAGAAACTACCACCAACTGTCAAGGTTATAACCTTCCGCCCAAATCTTTTATCCCTAACCTGAACTCAAAACCAATACGCACAGATCCAACCACCACCCACTATTATCGCAGGCAGAACCGCCAGCAACTTCAAGTAACAGAAACCCTTCAATAACCTGCAACCACACCGATCGATAGCTGCTACCCACATCTCGCCAACACCTTACACAAAGCTGCTACCTGTGAATCACAAAGCATCTTCCCAAATTGAGTAGCCGACGGGTAGTGAAATTGCTCGCTTACTGTGTTATCAGTTTGGGTATGTGAGCCGCTGATTGTGGGGATTACTGGTGACAGCTGCGGTAGATTTTCGCGATTGTGCCGGCAGCATTGTTTTGCAGCAGACGTTTTGGGTTTGAAGAAGGCAGCGGGAGCAATTGTTGGATTTGCTTGTGGTCGCTGCTTCTCATCCTAGAACCACCTCGCGCCGAGGACCCATAGCCTGTAGCTATTGGAGAAATCTGCTTGCTCTTTGGCGCCTCCATTCACCCGACCAATTGCCTTTGGAATTCTTGATTTTTGACTTCGCCATTTCGACCTTGCATCAGT